TTTTTGGTCTTTGATCTTTTATGCTTAAGGCTAGCACTTTGCTATTCTGAGCCACAGATCCATTTCTGGTTTTCTGGTGGTTAATTGGAGATAAAAGTCTCACAGACTTTCTTTCCTGGGCTGGCTTCAAATTGCAATCCTCAGATCTCAGCCTTTTGAATGCTAGGATTATAGGTGTGAGCCACCAGCACCCAGGTACTGGTGATATTTTTATGGTTTTTTTGTTTATTGGGTTTAAATTTAGGCCATGGTATTTGGTGAGCTGGCTCTCTACCACATCAGACATACTCCTAATCCTCTACTCAATATTTTGGAAGATTCAAGTCATTATTGTTAACTATAATTATCCATCTTTACTATGGAACATTACAAGTTTTTTCCTATTCAGCTTCATTTCTGTATCTGTTAATTATCTTTATTCTATCCCTTTCCAGTCATTAGTTACCAGTATACTAAGTAGTTATTCTTCAAATGTGTTTTTTCCAATTATTAAAAAATATTGGACAAGTCTTCGAATGTTAACCCTGAGTTCTAGAGCCCAACCATATGCAAGTTATATATTATAGTACTATGTCCCAGTTGCTTTCTCTGTTGGCATAAAGTTATTTGGAAGCTAACTAAGATAATATGTGTACAGCTTTGGGAAAAGCAACTGATATCAGATTAAGCATGGAATAAATATTAGTTCTTACTATTACTTTCCCACTGGCAAGTAAGATGTATCTACTGATGAGGATAAGTAAGCTGATCAACTTACATAGTTAATGTTCTCTTTAGTTGGAAATTTAAGTTCCTTCCTTTTTTTAGTATGTTTATATTTTATAGGTACAAGCAATTAAACTTTTGGTAAGATGGCTCTTGGGTATGAAGAATAACCAGTCTAAATCTGCCAACTCAACTCTTCGGTTATTATCAGCAATGTTGGTTAGTGAGGGTGATCTGACAGAGCAAAAGAGGATCAGGTGAGATTTTTTTTTTCTTTTTCTTTTACAATTTCCTTAGCTCAAAAACGGGCAGACATTTATATAACAGTATTTTATCTGATTAATACTAAATTTTGGAATTATACTATATACCTTCAGGTAAAATCTTAGATAGTTTTCAAGGGTTTTATGTCTCTTGTACTTTCAATAGGACATATATGTGTGTGTTTTACTTCTAAAACCTGAACTTAGACCAGTAAATTTTTAGTCCTAATAAGTATAATCTAACGTTACAGTCTTCAGCATTTGGTTAAGTAAACAAATAGCTGCTAAATTGCCAGTTTTTCCAAAGCACTGAGAGTAGTTTTCCAGCAAAAATAGATCAGTACCTACCTTAAATGATCTTATCTACAGAGTTAATTTCATAAGTGCATTAACTTAAACATGGTGAAAAAAATAAGACTTTCAGTGGTGGCTTAAACAATCAAAGATTTCTGATAATTTATAGAAGAGTCTACAGATGTAAAAAGAAAATGCCATTGGACTCTTCAAATCTGTAACATTGCTATCTTTCTGTTCCTTATAAGATGGGAACAATATCAGTTTTCTTATTCTTTCAAAGACTTGGTTTATTTACTAAGGGCCAACAGAAATAACTAAAGATTTCCACTTCTAATGCATTCCTGTTTTAGCATTTGTATGACAGGACAGAAGAGGATATCATTTATGCATTCAATACTTGTTTAGTACTATTAGTACATAATATTATTTATAGATACAGAAATTCCTCACAAGAGTATGTAATTGAAGGGTTGAATTATGAACAATTACAATAGATTGATGCTTTCTTTAATGCTTTAGCAAATACAATAAAATTAATTTGCATGCAGAATAAGGCAGAGATAGCATTTTAAGAACAGAGTGATCATTAGAGCTAGTTGGAGGTAGCAAGAAGTTCATATATGGTATGACTATGTAATATATTGCAAAGGCATAGCCTTATTAATCAATAACATTCCATAATGTACATGAAGACTAGATTCTATCAGTTGACTTGAAAAAATACTCATCATCATTATGCAGTTTATACATTCTAATCCTTTCAAGTGTTTGATAATTCTTCCCTCCTCTGTTCCTCCATGCCATTTCATCAGATCTATATAGAATTAAGCTAAATTTTTATTATGTTGCAATAAATGCCAACAGATTTTTAAAAACAGAAAACACTTAAAATTATGATTTTTAATTCTTTGGGATTTTAAAATCAGAGTTTTAACAGGTGAAGGCTGGTTGTTAGAGTATATTGAGTTATTTGAGAGCAGAAGGGTAACCTAGAGCACAATAAAGAATGAAGACAGATAGATTTGTTAGCAACAGGTCACTATGGCTTGAGCCTCTTTCCTTGAGATCATGGACACAGTAGCTGTCTCAGCTTTGTATATTAAGCGTAAATTGCCCCGTAAGGATCTTATACTGAAAAAAAAAAAGCTTTTTATGAGTAATAATGGTTATAGGAAATGTTTATTTCTTTTTTGTTTATTTATAGTAAATCTGACATGTCTCGCTTGCGATTAGCTGCTGGTAGTGCCATAATGAAGCTTGCTCAAGAACCTTGTTACCATGAAATTATTACCCCAGAACAGTTTCAGCTCTGTGCACTTGTCATTAATGTAAGTAATTATCTATTTTTATAAAATTTTTGCCTTAAAGGCTAAAATTATTTATTAATACAGATCCTCTTAGTTTTGTTATTTTATTTTTATGTTTTTCTACTATTGAGGTGTCAAACTCAGGCTACCACTTGAATAATCCCAGCCCTATTTTTGCTGTGTGTGTGTGTGTGTGTGTGTGTGTGTGTGTGTGTGTGTGTGTGTGTGTGTGTG